TGTCCCTTTCTCCATATTTTCTTAACCCACAATTCCTAAATATGTATAACCATATCAGAGGTTTCTGCTTTTTTGCATGAATACAAACCAAATGCTAACATGTAGTGCATGATTCTTACAATATTATTTCAACTATATTTTTCAATGAATTATAAGTATAGTTAGAATTAATAAGAGATAACAATATAAGGTCATAAAAATGGATATATAATTAAAACTAAGAACTAATACAGCGTAGGTCAGATAAACCAGTATGACAAACTGAACAGCAATTGTGGAATTGGACTTTTATAATGTACAGCAATGTGGAAATCAATGAAAAATAAGGCATACTGTTAACAAATAATACATACCATGATTGGTAAATATTTTTTTTTATATGCATGGTGTTTTTTCTCTATTTAAATACAGTAGCATATACTGTAGTCTTTCTCTGCATCCACAACTTTTTATTGAGTACTGGTCTTTACAAAATAGGTGCTCTTGCTTCTCATACTCATCAGTTCCTTTATATTGTTAGCACCTTTTCTTTTATACACTGATACACTGTTATTGCCTATATGTTCTTTTGTAATATACTCTGATGGTAAAGTGCTGAAATACATGCTGCTATTAAATAAATACTAATAATAAAAATCATATTTATATAAACTTACACACTGGTAGTTTGATGTAAAACATGAAAGCAGAAAAAAAACTACACACTCTTATCACACAGGGGAGCTGAACAACTGAATTGTATCCTCACAGAATTTCCTGCTACAGGCTTCAGCATACATAAACTGAATTTACTAGTAAATGTGGTTTGCTATGGAATGTATGCTTCAGCATCCGAATGTACATTCCCAAAGCTGTGGCATTGATAAAATTAAACTGTGATTTTCTTGAAAGCTTTTGGGTTTAATTAACTGCTGTTAAGATCTTTAGCAGCACATACGATGTGGATTTCAAAATGAGTTAATAGCACAATGCTATTCTAGATTGCAAAAAAAAAAAAATCCCTAATATATATATATATATAAAAAAAACCTTCAGGTTTGATTATAGCAACCCCAGCCCAGCACAAAGATAAGGCAATTTACCTTATGTCCTATTGCTTCAGTTCACACCAATGCACTGTGTTGGTGTGCACTGGAAAAAATAGGGTATGTTGCAATTTTGCATCGCATGTTTTGATGCACTATATCTCAATGAGCTCCCACCCACAGAGTTAAACAGGGTGTAAAGTTAAATAAAGTTTAAAGTTAAAGAAAAAAAAAAAACCTAGTAAACTACTTTAGAGATTTAATTCTGTGAATCCTTACTTAACGAAATATCAATGCATCCTTTTCATGAGGTATCAAAATAAGTACAAGTGAATGAAGCTAATACATTCTGCAGCTAAGGAATGCCATTTTAAAAGAACACTGCGATCCTAATAGAATTGTCAAGCCTGTTACCATGGAAACACTGCAGATTAAAAAAAAAAAACAAAATTTAAAGTTGTGTATGTGTTTGTACAAAGGGTCAAATGCTTCAAAAAACTGTGCTCTGTCGGTGCGTTACCTTCAGGTTTGATTTCTTCCCCTTTAACAAGCCTACAGCTAAGAATTACAAGTATGCACCTTGTGTTTGCTATGACACAGAAGAACAGGGAGCTCACAGCGTGCATGTAATTGGTCTTCCTATCATAAGCCTGATTGGCTATGTTAATTACAAGCCCAGGTCAGTCTAGGTTAGCTGCTCCTCTCCTGCTTTCCTTGTCCTTGATATACTTTTCCATATGTTGGGTCCTTCTCAGCTGCAGCACATACACATTCTTTGCTCGTCTTCTCTGCTTTCTGTTTCAACAACTGATTCCTCTGACTGATTTCCTGGCACCTCACCGCAGCTTGTGGTTTGCAGTCTTGCTCCCTTTTCGTACTGACATACTGAATGCCTTTGGCCAAATTCACACACTTTGTAAATGTACAGACATAAGATTTTGCGCACACACAATATATGTCAACACATGCCGATCATCAAGTAAAAATAGTAATAAATGTTCAGGGCCCTGGATATGTTTATTTACATTTTTTTTTCTGCCCAGTACAGTTTTTTTTTTCAGGATGAAGACATCTTAAAACCTATGATGTCACATTGCAGTTTTAGTTACAGCAGATGAGCAAAACAAAGCTACGTAATGTTCAAGCTGATAGAAGACCAGTCCTTTGAAAATAAAAACAAAGCTTACAATGTATCTGATAAAAGCTACAATCAATTCTACACTGTGGCAGAGGTGTGAAAACAGGAGCAAAAGTGGAACTATTAGAGCCAGCCAAAATGCACCAAAATGAATATGTATATTCCCTCCAATTTCCTCTCCTATAGTTGTCATAGTTGGTAAGGTCAGTTGTTTACTCCAAATACATCAGTGCCTACCCCCCTCCCCTTACTTCAAATGGAAGTTCATATACAGTATAATTTAGGACTCTAGAGTTGCTCTAGAGTAGGGGTGTCATGCGGTCCAAGACAACTATGAATGCGGCCCAACACAAAATCATAAACCTACCTAAAAATGTTGCCTTTCTGGAAACGTTTGTAAAAAACATTTCACAACCACACCTTTTTCACGTAACCTATTTTTGTGAGCTACTGTTTTCAAGGATAAAGCACAGAAAAGGCAAAATTAGAACCAAAGTATCTGATGAACACCTTGATGCTACTACATCCATCGAACCAGATACTGATGCGTGCGTTTATTAAAAAACAAATGTGTCAGATATCACAATCGTTTTATATTGCCCTCTTTTGCTTTTAAGTTTTATTACTCAGATAGGTATATTATCTATATCCGGGGGACGGCTGTCGAGGGGACAGGATGGCATTTCTTGTGCAAAGTACGCATTACGGCGCTAAGTATCTGGCACTTTAAACACAGCACTTTAACTAAGGCAAGTACAAACAATAGTGCTGCACCCCAAGTAGATTGCATGTGCTCTTCCCTCTCTCTGTCAGCCTTCCTTTGTTATTTCTCCTCTCTCCAGCATGCTCTTGCTAACCCTCTTTGTTGCTATAATACCCTCTCTTCTCAAACTCTCTCTTGTTTACCCCTCCTCCCCACCACTCAACCTGTACATATCACCCTCACTCCTGCCCTCTCAATATCAATGCACTTATCTCCTGCTCTCTCTTGGTCCACATAATTTCACCGCTTCAAAAGCACTGCGGCACTTGCCCTCATATAAATCTCGCTCCCACCTCACCTCCCTCACCCTCCTACTACTACTAACTTCTGGAGATATCGCCCCAAACCCTGGCCCTCCACCATAAAACACCAACCCACAGAAGCAGCAGCCTCCCCTCTCTGGCTGCAGCCGCAACCCTCACTCTCTCATCTCAATTCCCCTGCTTCCACGCACCAATCCCTCCCTCATAGGAATGTGCCCTCTGGAATGCCCGCTCAGCCTCTAACAAACTCTCTACTATCAATGACCTCTTCCTCTCCCACTCCCTCAACTTTCTTGCTGTCACGATCGCAAGATCGCCGCCACCAACATGCAACAATCTCATGACCGCTGCCACCAATATGTCACGATCGCGGCGTCAGACCCCAGACCTTCTCACCAAACTCGTGACCGAAGGACCGGCCGATCTAAACCCGCGATGTGACGTGCGTAACAATGCCACACCCAACTGCACCCTACACTGTGGTTTTCCAGCTAATGGTCAACTGATCGATGTGTCGTCAGCCTGAGCGATTGTTACTGGGTTGGGTTAATTACGCAACTAACCCTTCACTGCCACCACCCCTTTTTGTACAGAGAAAGGGGAAACTCTCTTTATCAAATATACACTGTAATTGTTGAAAAGTCGTCTGTCCAATACGGTCACCGCAGGCCGATTGGGCAGAGGTTTAAACAAACATAGTAGCGTCTCTTTAGAGGCAGGAATTCGTAAATTGCAATTAAGCGCTTTAGAAACAGTTTAACACTTCAGAAAGAGATTTATTACTAAAAGAGTCAAACAGATGCAAAAAAATATTTACAGAAAAAGATGCAACTAAGATATATATATATATATATATATATATATATACATATATATATACACACACACACAAAGAACCATAGCACAGCAGAGAGATAATAGGAAGGAAGTTAAAGGGTTAAGTTACTTGCCATTTAAGCCTTTGATGTAAGCAGATCCAATTTGCAGAGCAGAATGGTGCTTTGATCTCCCACTGTTACAATGGAAAAAATGGGAGAAGTCTTCAACTTAACCTTTTAGGCCTGCTAGCCTGTGTTTTAAATTCCCCCAGCAGGGGGGTGGCTCTGAGTAACTGACCAATACTCTGTTAAGGGAGGGATCGTCGGGCGGACTCTGAATTAGAACCAACATCTGTCATAATCCATGATATGAAACATAGGGGACAAACTGACTTGAGGAATGTTCATTTAATTCTGTCACCTATGCTGCTAGGTTTTATGAGGTTATAATCTCTTTCAATTTTCCTGGGAAAAGCTGCCTTATCTCTGTTAGGAGGTGAGAGATTACACATTTTCTTGGGCAGCTAGTCTCTGTCTCTCTTGGGGGGCTTTGTAGCTCTGGGCCCCCTGCTGCTCTACCTGCCAGTGACACTTTTAACACACACACATCTGTCACTGTGCCTCTCAGGAAGGGAGGGGGAAGGAGAAGGAGAAATGAGAGACACAATATATACTCCGTACCAACATGGAGGTGCCCACAAAATGGTTGAACTGTGTACTTCACTGTGTTCTGCGCAGTTTTTACAACACTTACTATCACTGAAACCTCGCTTCAGAAATCTGACTCTGTCTCCTCAGCTGCACTCTCCCATGGCGGCCTCCTCTGGATTCACTCGCCCAGACCCAGTGTCAGGAATGGACTTGCCAATAATGGTGGGACCTGCCTTGTGGGCTGCAGTACCAGGGCTGGCCAGCGGGTGCTCTCAGCAATCAGAGACTCAACCCTGCAGTCAGCCAAACACCTGAAGCTGATTACGGAGGTGTATTTAAGGGATGGCCAGACCTGCAGTCTGGGCCTTGGTGTGTGTTTTTCCATGGGCCCCTGTATCTTGTTACCTGCGTTCCTGTTCCTGCCTGACTTACTCGTTGCCTACCCTGCCTGATCCTGACCTCTGCTGTCTTCTCCTGTTTGATCCCTGGCTTGTGACCCCGACCATTCTCTGCCTGACCTCCTGTTCCTACCTGCCTGATTGTTATTGACCCGGCCTGCCTGACTACGCTTGCATTGTATGTACTGTTATCTGTGGGTGGTTTGGTTTGGTTCGTTTGCAGTGTGTTTATGTTTTAGTATTGCACTGCGTTTTGTATTGTTAGTATTAATAAATTATATTGTTTATAACATATCTGAAGCCTGCGTTTCCCTGCGTCAGTTCACATACCTCTGGTCATACCTGGAGCTCTGACACCCAGTGGACAAAAAGGGGGCGGAGTTGGACTTCTTCTTTCCCCACAATGCATGTTCCAGGTTCTTCCTGCCCCCCATCTCTGTCCCCCCGCTCTTTCAAATTGCACTGTATTTGTCTCTTTTTCACACCCGTTTGTCTGAGGATCGCAGTAATCTACCGGCCCCCAGGCCCAGTTTCACGCTTTCTCGATGACTTTTCAGCATGGCTACCGTACTTTCTCTCCTCTGAGGTGCCTGCCATCATCCTCGGCGACTTTAACTTCCCAGTCAATGCTCACACCCCTGCCACCTCTCAACTACTCAACCTAACTTCCTCTTTTAACCTAACACAATGGTCACAATCCACCACCCACTGCAATGGCAACACCCTTGACCTTGTATTCACCCACCTATGCACTCCCTGTAACCTCTCTAACACCCCTTTTCCTCTCTCTGACCACAACTTTATCAGCTTCACACTCTCCCTGCTTCCTACTCCCCATGCCTTCAACCAGCAAACCGTCACTTGTAGAAACCTCCATCACCTCAGCCCTGACCTTCTTCACTCCACTATTGAGCGCCTCTATGATGAAATTGCACCCCTGTCCTGCCCAGAGCTGGCCACATCTGCCTACAACAACTATGTCAGGAATGGACTAGCCAGCAATGGTGGGACTCACCTGCCTTTTGATCTGCAGTACCAGGGCTGGCCAGCGGGTGCTCCCAGCAATCGGAGACTCAACTTTGCAGCCAGCTAACACCTGGAACTGATTATGCTGGGGTATTTAAGGGATGGCCAGACTTGCAGACTCTGCCTTGGTGTTGTGTTCTCTTGGGCCCTGTATCCTGTTCCTGTCTGATCCTCTGCCTGACCCTCTGTACTACGCTGCTTGCTACCTGTTCTGATCCCTGGCTTGTGACCCTGACCATCCCTCTGCCTGACCCTCTGTACTACGCTGCTTGCTACCTGCTGAACCTGGCCTGTGACCCCGACCCATCTCCGCTTGCTCCCCCTGTACCTACCTGCCCTATTGATATTGACCCGGCCTGCCTGACGACGCTTGCTTGTATGTACTGTTATCTGTGGGTGGTTGGTTTGGTTTGGTTGCACTGTATTATGTTTTAGTATTGCACTGCGTTTATGTTTGTATTGTTAGTGTTAATAAATTATATTGTTTATAACATATCTGAGGTCTGCGTTTCCCTGCGTCAGCCACACACCTCTGGTCACACCTGGGAGCCCTGACAAACTATCTATCATCCTCCCTGGAAGCTCTTGCTCCTCTTTCTACACGCAGAACCAGGCCTCGCCTGTCAAAACCCTGACAAACAGATGACACCAGAAGTCTCAAGAGACGCAGCCACACTCTTGAGCGAGCATGTCGTAAAACTAAATCCGTGAAAGACTTTACCCTCTACAAATCCGCTCTTCTTAAATATAACTCCAGCCTCCACGCTGCTAAGCAAACCTACTATAACACTCTCATCAAGACCCTCTCATCCAATCCTCGTCAACTCTTCTCTACCCTTAATTCCTTCTTTCCTCCTCCCCGATCCCCCACTTTACCATTAAGATGAACAGCACAACCATTGGTCCTTCCCCTCATTGCAGGGTGCTAGGCGTAATCCTAGACTCTGACCTCTCCTTTGGGCCCCACATCCACTCACTGGCTAAATCCTGCCGCCTCAACCTCCGGAACATTTCCAAAATCCGCCCCATCCTGACCAATGACACCACAAAACAACTTATTCACGCCTTGGTTATATCCCACCTCGATTACTGCAACTCCCTCCTCACTGGTCTACCGTTACACAGGCTATCCCCCCTTCAGTCTATTATGAATGCTGCTGCTAGACTCATACACCTTACCAAATGATCAGTGTCTGCTGCCCCTCTCTGCCAATCCCTTCACTGGCCTCCAATACCTCAACGTATAAAATTCAAAATACTAACCACAGTCTACAAAGCCATCCACAACACTGACCCTAGCTACATCACCGACCTCATCCACAGATATCGGCCAAATCGCCCCACTCCGCTCCTCCCATGATATCTTTCTCTCTAGCTCCCTCATCACCTCCTCCCACGCTCGCCTCCAGGACTTCTCCGGAGCCTCTCTCCATCCTCTGGAACTCCCTACCACAGCATGTCCGGTCACCTCCTACCCTGTCTGCCTTTAGGCGATCTTTGAAAACACACTTCTTCAGGGAAGCCTACCCCACCTCCACCTAAGAACTGTACTTGAATCACCTCCACCAGATCATCCCCTGCAGCTATCACCTTTTGTATCATCTACCCCTTCCTTTAGATTGTAAGCTCCAAGAGCAGGGCCCTCACATTCCTTCTGTACTGAAATGTATTGTAATTGTACTGTCTCCCTTATATTGTAAAGAGCTGCGCAAACTGTTGGCGCTATATAAATCCTGCATAATAATAAATATCGGTGATTATTAACTTATTATCTGCCCAATTTTCTCTGTTCATCAGTTATCTTTAGTGTTAGTGTATTTTATGTGTGATCCAAAACAATTCTTCTTCTTCCAATGTGACCCAGGAAGGTCAAAAGGTTGGACAACCCTGTTTTAAAGGTTGCTGGGGGTTCCTTGAGCTGTGGCTGATTGACACCACACTTGATGGTGCCAGGGGTAACATTACTTGGCAAAACTAGTAGTATGACACCAATTATCTTTATGGTTGCCTGTAAAGATAGTATTCTTACCATTACTATAAGAGGGACATTCTTCCTACTGACCAACATTGTAAGAGACATTTTCCCCATTGAACCACCAACAAAGTGGATTTAGAAATTTGAAAATAATTATAAGTGCTCCAATAGGATTAAGAGGTTGAGGAAAGCTGATTTAGATATATTTCTATTACTTGTGTGTGTCTATACAACTGACAATACTTTAGGCCAGGCATTACTAAATGGCAGGCTGTGGTCCAGATATGGATCAAGTCACTGTCCCATCTGGACTGCCGCAGTCCCGCCATTTAGGAGCCTTTTTTTTCCCCCATCCATCACTCTGCAATCCTCACAGAGCTGATAGCGGGAGGCAAGACAGTTCTGGTTAACAAGCAAGTGACTGGTTGCTAGGATGCAGGGCGGTCCTAGCAACCCATCACTATCTTGCAGCTCCTGCCCTTTGTCCAGACTTGCTGTGCCTCTCACCCTCCAATCTGTCTGTGCAAGGTAGGAGAGTGAGAGGGTGAAGTTAAAGGGGGCTGAGGACATTAGTGCGGAGGGTGGCTGATGTGAAAAGGATGATGTGGGGGGCTAAGGATTGTGATGTGGGGGGGGGGGGGGAGTACAGTAGTGTGGGGGGGAGGGGGCTGAGGACTGTGATGTGGGGAGCTGATACCTGTAGTTGGAGGAGCTTGAGGACTGTAATGTGGGGGGCTGAGGACATTAAAGAGAGGGGGGTGAGGACAATAAAGTTGGGGGGCTGAGGACTGTAATGTGGTAATGTGGGGGGGGGGGGCTGAGGACAGTAATGTGAAGGGGGCTGAGAAATGTAATGTGGGGGCTGAAGACAGTAATGTAGGATGGCAAAGGACTGTAATGTTGGGGGGTGGCTGGGGACAGTAACGTGGGGGGGGTAACTGAGGACAGTAATGTGGGGGGATGATGTAAATAGGGGAAGAGAACTCTACAGTGAAGGAGGCAGAAGACAGTACTGTTGGGGGGGGGTTGATGTCAAGGAAATGTGAGAACACTACTGCGAAAGCGGTTTGTGGGGGTGATGTAAAGGGGGGGTTAGGACAATAATCAAGAGGGGATCTTGATGTGAAGGGGGGAGAGGATTGTAATGTGCAGTGGGAACTGAGCATTTAGTGCACACGTTGCAGGTAGGGCAACCCATTCATTTTAAAGGGCTGCATAACTCACGAGAAACACAGAGAAAGTGCCTGACCTTTTTTTCAAAATCCCTCTACACCAAGCTGCATGGTGCTGCAGCAACATGGGGGTTGGCAACCATGAAAATGTGCCACAGGTGCCGACATGAGATTCAGGCCTCTGCTGGGAGAAAATTTTTACTGAACAGACCTCAGTGAATTTTAATTCAAAACCCTTGCTTTAGGCACTACAAGAGTCTAATTCCCTGCTGCATCATATCATGTTAACCTAAGGCAGCACTGTGGCTTAGGGGGGTCAGTGCATCTGCCTTGCAGCATGGAGTCTTCTGAATCCCAGCCAGGACAGTAGCTGCATGGACTTTACAAGTTCTCCTTGTGCTTGCTTGTGAGGGTTTTCTCTCATGCTCCCAGCAACACTGTAGCCTATCCCCTCCTGACTAATTACACTTTTCATTCTGTTGTCTTGTTAGAGATAGTGCAGATGGATTTAGTGTGGAGTACACATCCCTGCATATGGAAGTCCCATATTGCCTGCATGCCAAAAAGGAATTCAAGTTCATTTAAAAGAGTGAAATGGGGGCACCCAGAAGATATTTTTGTGGCATGGCAGTGGTTGTAAATACCCCAAATCAGTATTCTGATATACTGCAATATACATTAGTAATATAAAACTAGCTGGATTGACAGCACACAGCATTTTGAGGTCTCAGGTATGACAGCCCCACCTACTGTCTTTAGTTAAACTCAAGCACTTCTACTCTTAAGTCTCTACAAGATAAATGTTATGAACTGGGAGGTCTCTTTGAGATAACACAAGAAGTGTGCAGAGGACACAGGACAGCTTAGAATTTCGAGAAGATCAAAAGATTTTTTTTGCACTTATCACACAGATGTAATGGAATACTTTTAATTGTATAATGTATATAAAAGTGTAATAATATATGTTTGTTGTTACTTTTTACATATTTTTTTAAAGGTTTAAGAACTAGAATAAACATACAAATAGCTCAAGATAAACAAGATACAATTAAAATTAAATGGAGTTTATGCTTTGAATGAATAAAAGATGTGCACTAATACTCTGGTCAGCCTATATCTTATGAGTAAGTTAGGAATTTAAGTGCTACACCACAACAGTAATATTTAAGTCTAAATACACGTTTATCCCAATGCTATATTGTTTGCTAAGCCAGAGTGTTTCAGTGGCTGTACCTCTGCCCCTTCATCAGGGCTTGGAAAAAATGAAACAGTGAAAAGTGTAAATGCACTCAATAATCAATCTATAGCTGGATGTTACAGAAACGAGTTTGCACAGCAATCCATCAGCAGCTGGTTCAAGGCTGCGAACCCTGATGAAGGAGGCAGAGGCAAAGTGGTGATTTAGCAAACAATATATCATTGGACTAATCTTTTATTTGAACCTGAATTTTAAAATGATATTAGAAGGTCCAATTTTAATTTTATTAAATTAAAACCATGTTATAACTACCTGTTCTGTGCAATGGCTTTTCTGCCGAGTGCCTCCATAGCAAGCCACTTGCTATGGGGGCACTTGTGCATACTCGCTTCAGAGCCCCATTTTGTGTGTCATTGACACACAGAATGAGGATCATCCCTGCACCCACTCCCTCCTCACTGGCTGTGATTAACAGCTGCTGTCTCTGAGCCAATGAGGATGGAGAACGCAGGGAGAGTCGATGCTCTCATGCACATCGCTGGATTGAGATCAGGCTTAGGTAAGTATTAGGGGCAGATGGAAGGGCTGCTGCACATAGAAGGTTGTTTACCTTCATGCAAAGAATGCATGAAACACCTTCAACCTTTAGAACCACTTTATGGTGTGGTGCTTCAATTTCAACTCACTCATCCCTATCACAACCCAAAATGAAATTGTTTAAATGTTATGGAGTACAGAGATTGAAAGCCCAAATATTCATATATTTTTCATATTTATGCTACACTGTAAAAGTGGATGACAGCAATAATTTTAAAGCAAATATATAAAGATTTTCGGGGTCCCAGCACCTCTTGGCCACTTGTTCAAGCTTACACCTTATGACATCCTGCTGCTTTTAGCTTGATCTCTGTTCACTGCTCTGTAATCAGAACTCAAAAGGCAAAATATGATTCAGTGATCCTCATGGAGAAAGTGCCAACAGCAGAGCAATTATTTGTACTGTCTTCCCTTCTATGGATCCAATGAACTTTGCTTGTAGAGCACAACTTTTGATTACCAATTGATAACACTCTCCATTAAAAACTTCCAA